AGATAAGGAAATGTAAAGGTGCTAGCACTTGTTAAAGCCAGTGGAAAAAGAAGAAAAAACGGCGACTGAATGCTAGCAGTATTCGCATAAAAGGTTGATTGTGAAGGATCTATTGTGTGCGTTAATCCGTGCAATGTCTTGGCATTCGCGTCGCGTCTTTTCCGCCTTACTAAATCTATAAGAACTTTAACAAAGCAACAATTTGCCCCTATCTATGCCTAAATATCTGTTATTTTAGTTAGATCTTAAAGCTGTACATACTTTTTAATTAGAAAATAATAAAGCTAAATTTTAAAAGTTTAAAATAGCTCTTAGTAAATAATTTCTAGCTAAAAAGCTATAGCTAGAGCAGCCACGCGTTTAAGTCCTAGTGCTACCTGTTAACTGTTAGCTAGAGCCCTTACTGCAGCAGCCTCTAAAGCACCTTCTAGAGGCTAAAAAGCTAGTAAATTAAATAAGTAGATAAGAAGAAAAGTTACTTTTAGAAATAAATAGTGCACTGCTGCTTTAATAGCTGCTATTAAGATACTATTATTACTACGTGTCGCGTATACTAAGAGCCTTGGCTGGGGCCCGGAGCCTGGGACGCGGCTCGGGATCTAGAGATATTATGTTCTGAAGCTTAGTGTATATAAGGAGAGCCTCTAGCTCTCTTAGATAGAAGAGTTACTTTATCTAATCTTCTAAACAGCTACTGCTAGGCTATTTTATCCTCTATAGTTATAAGCCTAGCGCTTTAAGAACCTAGGATAATTCTTTTTATATAACTATAGCGCTAGTAAAAGCTATTTAAAAGCTTTATTTTTTATCTTTACTTATTTTTATTACTTTTAAAGCTTAAGTTATAGCTAATTAAAATGCTCTTCTCTTAACAGGAGCGTACTAGCTTAAGGACTATGTAAGCTAGCCTCTTTAGTTTATCTAGCTCTAGTTCTATACTCTTAGCAAAAACCTATAGGATATAATTAATCTAGATAGACTAGACGCTCTAAATCCTATAGACAGCGCTCTAAAAATGCCTATACTTAGAGCAATTACTGCTAAGAACCCTTTAAAAAAGGCTAACATATAGTACTAAACTAATATTACTAAGTACTAAGCTTAATTAAGTAACTAGACTTTACATGCAACACATTTTTAGATAATCTAGAACTAGGTTAATGTAACTATTGCACTAAAGCTTTTACAACCTATAATAATATAGCTTATATTAGAGAACTAATCTACTTTATAAGCACTTATATAAGCCTTAAAATAAAAGCTAGCACTAATAAACATAAGCATAAAAATTTTTATATAAGTAAAGTATAAAGCTTACTTTACTAAGGTAAAGCATAGTACTATAACTCTAAAAGCTTAGTACTAGCAGTAGCACTTTTTATATACTAAGGCAAGAATCTATAAGATTCTTAATGCAAAAGGCTAGCTAGCTGCATAGAACTTTCTAGACACCCTAGCTTTAAAGCTTGCACTAGACTAGGCGCGCTTTATGCACTAGAGGGTTATAGAGGCTAGCGCACTTAGTAAGAAAACTTTAATAATTTAGTAAATTAATAAAATTTTTTTTAATAATACTCTAAAAGCACTTCTTACGCATAAGCAACTAAGGCATAAGTATATTTATAACACTTAGTAGATAATTAAATAATAATTTAGCTTAATTTATTTTAGCCTAATTAAGCTACTTATGCCTATGTAAAGCTCTAGAGCAATCTCTTTATCTATAAAAAGTAGCAAACTGTAGAGACTTTATATTAGTAGTTACTAAAAAGCTAAAAAAGCTTAGTAAAACTACACACTAAAAAATTCTTAAAAAGCTTAAGTAAGTGTAGTATAAAAAAGTAAAAGCTATGCTACTTAAAAAGGCTGTGTAATTTTAAATAAAGCCTTCTCTACTTTAAAAGTAATTAAAAAATTAAATAAGCTAGCATTTTTAAAAAGTATTATTACTACACTTATTAACTTAGCGCTTTTAGTAAAACTAAAAATGCATATAACTATAAATTTTAACACTTACTTACTCTCTATAAGTATAATTCTAGATAATAAAAGTGCTACACACTTAGTAAATAGTATAAAGCTGCTTATACCTAAGTTAGTTAAAAAAGCTTAAAGTTTATATATAGTAAAAGCTAGCACTTAGTTATTTCTAATCTAAAAAATAGAAACTAAAAAGCTTAAAAAAGTGTTAAATAAAGTATAAAAAAAGCACACAGAAAACCTTACACTATAAAAAGTAGTTATAGTATAAAATTTTTACATTAATATTATCTTAAAAGCTTATTTAAAAGAAAAAGAACTATAGTATTTAAAACTTAACTATACACTACACATAAGCACGCTAGAAAAGAATAAAGTACTTATAATACTTTACTAAGAACATAACTTTATGTTTATTAAATATAAAGCTATCTTTTTTTACTTACTAGTGCAAAGTGTGCTTTTAAATTACTAACACTTATAAATTATATTTCTACACTTAGACTTAAAAAAGCTCTAGTATACGCGCACAGAACACCTAGGCTCTAAAGCTCTACAGGCTCTAGTTAAAAGCGCAAAGAATATATAAATAATAAGTATAAAGCAAGTTGTTAGATTTAAGCACTGTTTCTAGGCTTCCTGAGATGAATGATGGGTTTGGATATGATGTAT